CCCACATTGGGGGGTCCCTCAGCCCCCACATTGGGGGGTCCCTCAGCTTCACACTGAGGAGTCCCTCAGTCCCCACATGGGGGGTCCCTCAGTCCCCACACGGAGGGTCCCTCAGTCCCCACACAGAGGGTCCCTCAGTCCCCACATGGGGGGTCCCTCAGCCCTCACGCTCGCCACACCGGAGGGTCCCCTCAGCCCCGCGCCCTGCCCCGCTCCCCTCAGCCCGGCACTCACTACTTGTAGAGCTGCTGCAGGCAGAGGTCCAGGCACTCGCCCTCCACCTCCTCCTCCGTGATGTACTCCGAGAGCGGCCGGGGCAGCGGGGGCAGCGGCGGGGGCGGCGGCGGCGGGGCGGGTGGCTGAGGGTCGCCGGCGTCGCCCTCGCCGCCTTCTCCCTCCTCCGCCTCGGCCGCCGCTCCCGCTTCTCCCTCTGCCCCGGGCTCCTCGTCAGCGGCGCCCGCGGCGTCGGCAGCGGGCGGAGGGGGCGCCGGCTCCTGCTCCGGCTCCGGCTCGGGCTCCGGCTCTGCCCCGAAGGGCCCGCGGAACTCTCCCAGGAACAGCTCGAGGAAGCGGCGGTAGGTCTTCTCCTCCGCGCTGCCGCCGCCGCCGCCGCTGCCCGAGCCGCCCGCGGCCATCGCTTCGCATTCCCGGCCGCCCGCCGGCGGATCAGCACTGCGCCCGCAGAGAGCTCCCTGTCCCTGCCCGCCACCGCCTCCTCCTCCCGCCTCCCGCCCGCCGCCTGCGCGCGCGCTCCCGAGCCGGGCCCGCGGGGCCGCGCACGCCGCGGGGGTGGTGGCGGGCGGGGGGGGGGCTGAGGGGGAGACGCGCCTCGGCGGCGGGAGCGCGGGCGGCGCTGAGGGGGCTCGGGGCGTCCGGCGGCCGCCCGAGGGGGCGGCTCGGCCCGCGGCAGTGACGGGGAAGGGGGGGAGCGGGAGCTGCGAGAGCCGCGCCGCTGTGATGAGTCATGCGAAGGCAGCCAGACGCGTAGGTTCCTCACAGGAACCCGGAGGAAACCTGAGCGCACATCGCCTGTTACCTAATCCCCCTGCCTCCTTCAGGGCTTCCCTGAAGCTTCCGCCGCCGCCGGCGCCGCCGCGGCTCCCGGAGGGTGAGCGGGGCTCCGAGGGGGGAGCCGGGCTGGTCCCGCGGTGTGGGGACGGAGCTGTCCCTGCCCGAGCCTCCGACCCGGGCGGGGGGAAGCCTCTGGGGACGGTTTGACACCGGAGCGGCTTTGCGTGAGGGGAACTGGCCATTGAAAAAGAGAGAAGATTTAGATGGGATATTGGGAAAAAATTCTTCCCTGTGAGGGTGATGAGGCCCCGGGACAGGTTGCCCAGGGAAGCTGTGGCTGCCCCATCCCGGGAAGTGTCCAAGGCCAGGTTGGACAGGGCTTGGAGCAACCTGGGCTAGGGGAAGGTGTCCCTGCCCATGGCAGGGGGGTTGGAACCAGATGATCTTCAAGGTCCCTTCCAACTCAAACCATTCTATGATTTTATGATTAAAAAGTAGGTATTTAAGCAGGAATGTCCCCTCCACCCTGTCGCGTGGGGCCCGACCTGCACTCCCACACCTGCGGTGGTGAGGGCCCCGAGCCCCAACCCCTCAGCCCTCTCTATCCCCCTAAACCCCCTGGAAGGGCGGCTTGGGGTTGTTTTATCCCACTTGCAACACTTAGCGACAAAACTTGTGTAAAATTACATTCAAGATGGGCATATAAATATGCCCATGAATAGTCATAAAATTGGAGTGAGACCAGAGGAGGCCACCAAGATGCTCAGAGGGATGGGACACCCCTCCTGTGAGGAAAGGCTGGGAGAGCTGGGGGTGTTCACCTGGATGAGAGAAGGCTCTGGGGAGACCTTAGAGCTCCTTCCAGGGCCTAAAGAGGCTCCAAGAGAGCTGGAGAGGGACTTTGGACAAGGGCATGGAGTCACAGTACAAGGGGGAACGGCTTCCCACTGCCAGAGGGCAGGCAGTGGTAGGTGGGATATTGGGAAGGAATTCTTCCCTGTGAGGGTGGGGAGGCCCTGGCACAGGTTGCCCAGAGAAGCTGTGGCTGCCCCATCCCTGGAAGTGTCCAAGGCCACATCGGACAGGGCTTGGAGTAACCTGATCTAGTGGAAGGTGTCCCTGCCCATGGCAGGGAGTTGGAACAAGATGATATTTAAGGTCCCTTTCAACCCAAACCATTCCATGATTCTGTGATAAGTGACACATTACACCATATCTACATATTCATATTCCCCTTCTGGCAAAGGAGAGCTCATGAGCAGCTGAAGATGTTGGACCAAATGAAACTTAAAAGACAACCAGTCAGTGGGAGACAAACTGCAGCTGATGTTCTCCTGCTGTCTAATAAATGTCTTTCATTTGCAGAAGGCATTTTGGCTTGTTTTATTCATTGCTGCTGAAAAGCTATTTTCAGAGCTATCAGGTCCATAAATACCGATAATGAACAGGTATAATTTCCACATATTTAAAATAGCTTGTACACAGGGGAGGGAACGACACCCTTAATGTCAGATATACCTTGAAAAATGGCCAAATCACAAGCCTCGTATGCAAAAATATTCTCAAATTTTTATGGCTTGTAACAAGGACAGTATCTTGCTGAAACCTGTTGTTCCTTGCATTGTAGTAATTACCTCTGCATGTCAGGTGCCCCTGTAAATCTGTCTTCTGTTTGGTGAATTATTTTAGAGCCAAACTAATTTTAGAATATTTCCGGCAACTGCATTGACTGATCAGATTGCAATCCTGTGAATATGTAAAAGCCCTGAGAGTTAAAAATGTGATTGTCACAGTTAGTCTTAGTCTTTCACAGCCGGCAGTGACAGAAAATCACATCTCTTCCCCTGAAAGAATATGTCTAAGTAATATTTTTCGGTATACCATTTCTATATTTTCAATTTAGCACTCATTTATTTAAGAATGCCAGGCGGGTTTTTGGAGGGACGAAACATTGCAGTTCTTTTAGAGCAGATAAGTCCCAGTGGCAGCTGGTGATGTCATTGCTGGGCTTTGTTTTTATTTTTTCAGGTTTGTGTGTACTGCATCATCAGTGAGTCACAACCCCCGAGAGGATGCATATCAGTGCAAGTATCAAAAAGCAGTTTTAACTTTATGATTAGTTGTTTTTCACTAGGAATTCAGAGGCAGTTGGAGTTTCTAAGAAACTGTAATCCAGATAATCTTAGTGTAATATGATCTGAATTCTAAAAATTCCCGTTATAACCATGTCTTAGGGAAGTAACAGCTAATTCAATTGTCTGACAAACAGCAATTAAGGCTATCCAAGGAGAGATTCAAAAGCATTTAGACAGTCTTTTTCTTTAAATTTTTGTTAATTTTGTATTTTTTTTTTACTTGCTTCGAACAGCACATAAGAGTATCTGCAAGTAATACCTACTCTGTTTCGTGTTGAAATGTTAAAGTTACCAGATGTCCTTGATTCATCTTGGCAGTCCCCATGTGCTTTTCATCATTTGTCTCGTTGCAAAAGGCACTAATTAAAAAGAAATAGAGTAGAACTTCGTACTCAGGATACTTTGTCAACTTTTGGCACCGCGGTCAAGTCGGGATTATTTTGCTTCCGTATTAAACAAAGAGCTCGTGGCTCCAAGCCACGCTGACATTTGTTTCTGGGAGGGAAAGGTGGAAAACCCACCCCTGTTAACCTGGAAGGTGGAACATACGGTCGCTGGGGGTGGTGTGGCTCAGCCAGGCAGCCAAGAACCCGCTCCGTGGAGAGCCAGTGGGGTGGGCAATTCCCACAGGAGGCAGCCCCCCTGCTCCCCACTGCTGCCAGGAAGGGAAGCTCCAAGCACAATGTGCTCTCCAGTAACACCCTGATCTCTGAGAGGCGTGCTTGGGGCTGTTAGGAAATGTTTGTGGTGCTCACTAACTCCGGGAGCTAAATTTAGAATGCCTGGGTACACTCTGGATCCTTGGATAGCAGCAGGATGAATGGTTCCCATGGGATGAGGTGGGGTGCGTGGAATAAACTCACAATTCGTAACATTTTGTGTCTGAGATCCTTGCAATACTCTGTCAAACAGAGGATGAGGCTTGCACCTGACTTGAGAAAGGAAACACAGGTGTTTGTCCTTTCCAGCTTAATCACATTGTGCTTTTTTTTTTTTTTTAAAAAAAAGGAGGTTTTACAGTCTTGTTCTAGAAGCAATATGTTTTATCTTAGCCTTTAAACAACGCCTTCCTCTTTCTCATTTGCTGGGGAGAAATAAGCAGGATTTGAACAGGCCTTGGGGAGGTGACCTGAATTGTATGGAGGGCAAAAAGAAGGGCTTTTGAAATTTTTGTGACCTTTGGAAGTGATTCCTCTGGGTTGACAAATAGAAAACATGTAGGGACATTAGGGATGCTTTGACAATACTTAATATACCTGTGATATATGTTCTGATACCAGACAAAAGAGTTTAATGGGAAAACCCAATGGTAAATGGGTAAATACCTCTATAAAGTGATCTCTTTAAAAAGTAGGGCTTTTGCAGTAAAGCTGAATTAATTTTAGAAGCTATATTCTGTTTTAATAATTCCAGTGGTTTCAGACTAAAGACAGCAAGAATTTAGAAGGAATGCAGCAAGAAGGCTCTTGCTGACAAGCTACATCAAGCTCCAGTTCATTTTCTTAGTCTCAGTCTGTTCTACTGCAGTTTTAAAAAGCTGAGTAACTTCTGCCACCACAGTCTTACTGGCTCCTTTACCATAACAAGCACTGTACTGGGGTGTTCCTAAACACAAAGTCCTTCTCTCTCCTTCTTTCTCTTGACTTTTTTTTTTTTTAAAGTTTTTGAGGTCAAATCAGCTTTTCCAGATTAATAGTCAAAGATTATTCTGAAATATCCCCCTCCATTGCAAAACACGGGATTTCAGGCCTGAATCCCACTTCCAGCTGTCATGGAAATTTCCGGTGCTATTCCAAAGGAAAATTCCATTTTCAGTCTTCCATTCAGACCCCTGCTTAGGAAAGGGGGTGCTTTGAACAGCAACAGTGAGGAACAGGATATCAGTCCGTGCCTGTTTATTGAGATTTGGAAACCTGTTGGAAAAGTACGTGGAAGAAAGAAGTAATGAAAAGCTGACTTCAAAGTGACTGAAGAGGTGTGGAGCACTCTCAGAGCAGGTATAACACACAAACAAATACCAAACAAAACCTTGTTTTTATTTGGTATTTGCCAATACCAAACCGTGCTCTGCTTAAATCCCATTGATATTCTCTTTCAGTGTGTGCACATTCTGTCCTGTTGGGCTGGAGGGTGAAGTTCATCCTAAAATGAGAGCAAAGTTTAAGGCAGGTGCCTGGTGGGATTTAAAACAAACAAACAAAAATATATTGGTTCTTCCACAGTCTTGCTGTGAATGACTTGTTCACCATCTTGCTGCAGATTAGATTCCTGGTTCTGTGATACCCTGCTCCAGTCACAAGACCTTAAATTTTACAGTCACTTGCTTAGAAACATGTCCTTAAAAAAAGATTAAAAATTAAAAATCAGCCACTTCCATGAGTACCAGAAAAAAGCCACTGCTGTGTCCAGGCTCTGGGCATTATTTTTGCAATTTATGTGCTCTAAGAGTACAGATAAAATAGAATGGTAGGACTCCCAGACTTTAAAGA